ACATCAATGGCGAGTACATCACTTACCTTCGATTTGCCGACGATATAGTCCTTATAGCAGAATCGCTGGAGGACCTAAGCACTATGCTCAATGACCTCAATAATGTCTCCCAACGGATAGGTCTTAAGATGAACATGGAATAAACAAAAATGAAAAAATGTTTAACGTTCATGTCACACCTATGCCGGTGGTTGTTGGGAGCACTAAGTTCGAAGTTGTTGACGAGTATGTTTACTTGGGACAAGTAGTCCGACTAGGTAAGTCCAACTTCGACCGAGAGGGCAATCGACGGATCCAACTCGGCTGGGAAGCGTTCGGGAAACTACGACACATCTTCTCGTTGGACATACCTCAAAACCTGAAAACAAAATGGTACAACCAGTGCATGTTGCCAGTGATGACTTACGGATCTGAGACGTGGTCCTTCACTGCTGGCCGTATGAAGAAGTTCAAGGTCACTCAACGAGCTATGGAGAGGGCTATGCTTGGGGTTTCTCTGCGTGGTAAACTTAGAATTGAGGATATCCGCAGTAGAACAAGAGTAACCAACATAGGGCAATTGATTAGTAAGCTGAAGTGGCAGTGGGCCGGCCATATAGCTCGAAGAACCGACAACCGATCGGGAAGAAAGGTTCTCGAGAGGCAGTCTGGTACCGGTAGGCGAAGTGTAGGGCGACCCCCCCCCCCCCCACTAGATGGATTGATGACCTGGGTAAGACATGCAGAAAGTCGATGGATGAAGGTGGCTCAGGACCGTGCTTTGTGGCATTCCTTGGGAGAGGCCTATGTTCAGCAGTAGACTTGTGAAAGGCTGTTAGTTTTTTTATCAAGAAACTTTATCTATGGAAGTACTATTTATGGTTGGCAAGAAAAAAAATTGTGGCTCTTTAAAAACTTTGAAATTTTGTAAATTTTAATTTTTGGCTCTTCCGACTCAAAATGTTGCTGACCCCTGGCCTAAAGCGAAAAAGTTTTAGAAAAGCCTCGTTACGACTGGTGCCAACTAGGGAGCATACACGTCTTCAGTACACTGGGAGGAATTCCATCAGGCCCACTCGACTTGACGTCTATGGAGAGTAGTGCTATGCACACCGAGCGCTGTGTAAACCGTATCGTACCAACCTGAAGGCGAAATTATACTTCTTTTTAATAGCGCTGGTGAAGCACTTCTGTTATAGCGCGTTGCAATTTTACAGGAGCGACCAAACCAGGCACCACAGCTGATAGAATAGATAGTTCCATTTCCTGACAGCTACAGAATCACGTTGGGGTCATCCAGCGAGAAGCATACCCGCCCCTGTCCTCAAGGTAAGGATGCAAAATAAAGACCGCATCCTATCCCAATCGGCCGACTTATAATGCCAAACAGGGCGGCGATCTGCAGAACGCAAGCGCGATGGAAGTGTGATTGGCACCATAGTACGGATCAGACAACGGTCCAGTGAGCCAAGAGAGGCGTCGACGAAAACCTGATATTTTTACTTTACTAGGCACTTTTAGAAATATTCGTAGGTTGGTTTATCCATTTATCTAATTCAAATAAAGTATAACTAATATTTTAGAAAAAAAACTTTAATCTCTACACTTTTCTTATGTCTGTCCACACACTGCTCTACTCGCGCAATTAATCGCGACGCTACGCACTATGCAACACAATGGATGTTGAACCTGTTGCAGCGAGCGAGCTATGCATATTTATTATAGCTAAATTATATTAATGTCATAAAAAGAAATATACGTTGTCGACGTCGAGATAGCTTTTTCTCTGTATATTATTTACTCATGTACCTGAATGATAATGATAGGTACACAATTTATAATTTTTAAATGACACGTGACGTGCCTCCGTAACGAGCGCTCGATTCAGATTTCGGACTGCGTTTGCGTGAGTGTGTGGCCAGCCACTCGCACTCTCAAACGTACTCTGTGCTCGTATTACCAGTCCTTTGACACGCGCCAAAAAAAAAACGAAAAATAAGGGAGCGATGGGCATGACGAGGAGCATGACGTGCGGCATGACAAGTATTGTGGCCACACTATGTCTCTGCCTCTTTTCCTCGCTACTTCCCATGCCACTCGACGAGTGTGTGAACGGAAGGAAACAAATTAACATACCCTGTACGAAATCTGTTAAATATTTCATCTCATTCCGTGCCGCTAAACTGGTGGCCGAAAAGTCGTGGATTTATCACAGAATTGGTAATTTTTGAGCAGAGCAGTCTGAAAAGTAAGTAAATATACACATAAACACTCACGCCTGTCACCCAGAGGGGTAGGCAGAGACTATGGACTTCCATTTGGCACGATCCTGACACACCTCTCTCGTTTACTCCACATCCATATACCTACGCATACACGCTCGTCGGTTAAAGGTACTCTTGATTTGGCCCATTTTCAATATATTGCCAATTTGGTCGATAAACTTTCGCCTAGGGCGTCCCTTCCCCACTCTGCCGGTCACCTCTGCAACATAAATTTGCTTTGTCACTCTTTCCTCATTCATTCTTTCTACATGACAAAACCACTGAAGCATCCCTTACTTAATCCTGGTTACAACATCATCTTGCAAACCACACTCTTCTCTTATCAAACAATTTCTCACTCTGTCATTCAGATTCATCCCTAACATACTCCTTAATGAGCGCATTTCTACAGCATTTTACTCTCGTGCTTCTTCTGCCACAACCAAATTTCACTACCATACATTAAAGTAGGGACTAACACAGCATTGTGAATTGCCATACGTGCCTTTTTGGACACATTCTAACTTCTCACAATGGGGTGTAGAGCCCCATTCACTCTATTTCCTGCGTTCACTCGTCGTTCTATATTCTTATCATATCTAACATCCCTGCTAAATACACATCCCAAATACACAAACTCATCTTCTTGCTCTATCACCGGGAGGGCGACCATCTGTCCCAAGGAGGTATCGGATTCATCGTCCACAAGTCTCTCGTTAACAACTTTGTAAAGATCGAGTGTGTCGACGAGGGTTGCATACCTGATACTCAGAATCACCAAACGGTATTCGCTGAAGGTCATACAGGTTTACGCACCAACCTCGGCACATCCCGATGAGGAGGTGGAGGAAATGTATGAGGATATCTCTAGAGCCATGCATTCCTCCAAAACCCACTATACGGTGTTAATGGGAGACTTCAATGCAAAACTAGGCACAAGAGAGAACGGTGAGCTGAAAGTAGGGAAATTTGGAATAGGGCAACGGAACCCAAGGGGCCAGCAGCTGGCCGACTTCATGGAGAAAGAGGGACTCTTTATGATGAACTCTTTCTTCCAGAAGCAGCCCTACAGGAAGTGGACCTGGTCGAGCCCCGACGGTGCGACGAAAAATGAGATTGACTTCATTATGACGACCAGACCACAACTGTTCAGTGATGTCTCCGTGATCGCGAGGGTGAAAACTGGTAGCGATCACCGAATGGTTAGAGGCACACTGAACCTAAACGTTAAGTTGGAGAGGTCTCGTCTAATGAAGTCAACGCTCCGTCCCCCTCGTGCTCTGTTCCAAAGTCCCGAAACCTTTCAGCTCGAGTTACAAAACCGTTTACAGTGCCTAGAAGACTGCAATGAAGTGGACGATATGAATGACAAGCTCGTGGAAACTGTCCATGCGGTCGGAGCTAAGTTCTGCAAGACCCGCCGCAGAAGAACACAAAAACTCTCCGATCACACACTTAATCTCATGGCTGTTAGACGGAAGATGAAGCTACATTCTTCAACAGATTTGACAGCATACAGGCAACTGAACAGACAGATCTCCAAATGCATGCGGCGGGACTTACGCAACTTCAATACAGCTTGTATTGAAGAAGCGATCGAGCGGAACCAAGGCTCCAAAGTCTTTGCCAGAGATATGTCTGCCAGAAAGAGCCAACTGTCGAAGCTGAAGACCGAGTGTAGCAGCATCGTTTCCGGGACACCTGAGATTTTGAGTGAGATTGAGAGGTTCTATGGGCAGCTGTACACATCATCGTTGGAGCCACACTTAAGAGGGAGTAACGATCCAAGAGTGAGTCTTATCCGACACTATTCCGAAGATATCCTGGACGTCAGTCAGAGCGAGATTAGAATGGCTCTCCAGCACCTTAAAAACGGCAACTCCCCGGGCGAGTATGGAATTACAGCGGAGCTTTTGAAGGTAGAAAACCTCTATTTTTCAAAAAATTATAGGAGCAAGAAAACAATAATAAATGTTTTCTTGCTCCTATAATTTTTTGCCCAATTACTAGTTTTTTTCGTCAGAAAATTAAATATAGTAGACTTAATGGAAATCTACAAATAAGATTGTCACTTCAGTTTACCAATCCGATAGGTTATGTCGGTTACTCTATATAGGTACTACTGTAGTAGAGTAGTAGTAGTAGTATACTCTATATATACTCTATATAGACAATGGGAAAGTGTAGGTACAAAAGTACTACATGAAGCTTTACACTTCTATTGCATGTCTTACTTCTATGGCGATTGTAATAAGAACGGTACAAATTCCAATGTGTTCACCACAGGTGATCAAGCTACATTTACCAAGCCCCCACACCAAGGCCCGCATCCAAGCCTTCCTCTAAACTCATCACTTAATATGGAAATATGTGTAACACACTAAATACAAGCAATAAATCTAACACTACATCAGTCTTTTTATTCTGATTATCTTCAACTATTCAGTCCTCTGATTATCTTAGAACTATCCAAATTATAATTATTTTGCAAAAAGGAAATATATTTTCTTTATCCTGTATAGATCTAAATTCTAGAAAAGAAAAATAAAGACTTCTATATTATATGTTTTATTATTTTATTTGTTAAATAAAAATATGCAATTACCTTATCTTTTCTTCAGTCTCTAAAAAATAACCAAGATAACTGTATTAAATAGATTTCTCTTATTACTATATTAGCCATCTTTATGTTCGTAATTTTTTTATACATAAATTATTTTCACAATCATTATATGCTTACTTTGTGTTTTCTGATTTTTAAGCAGACTTTAAAACTCCCTTCTGTTCTAATTCTTTTTCTACAACAGTACCCTCATATCTTATTTTATCTTTTAAGGCTTCTTGAAGTAGTTGAGCATCAAACTTCTGTTTTGACCACTGATATCTGCAATATGACCAGTAGAGTAGAGTAGTAATGGAAAAAGTTCCTACTCCAATATGCTGTGACAAAAACGGCTTTGATGTTTTAATAAATGCTACCAGTCCACCACCTATACCTGTTGCAATACCAGTTAAAAAACTTTCTCGAAAGCATGGAATCTTGGATAGGTCACGTCCAAACAATACTAAGCCCTGAAATTGAAATGGATTAAATTTGTTTTACTTTAGAACGAATGTAGAAACATTGTAAACTGAAATATATAAATAAAAAGTTTAATCTGTATTATTTATAATATAGATAAATAAAAATCCTTCCAAAAATATTAATTGATATTTTGTGCAATTATTTTGTTTATACTATAAAACATAACCGCCGTCGACTTTATTTACTATAAATAATAAATGTTATGCGAAGACCTAAACACAATAATAAAATATAATAGTTTTGTGATAGTTCAACACATGCATATTATGTAATAATATTATCGCATTTTATGTCCCAAGACAGTGTTGTTGTCGTTTTTTTACAATTTGTATTTAATAAGCACAAAGGTCAAATTTGGATGTTACCTTCTTCTCTTCTTCTGTGTCTTCATCTAACATATTTTTAACCACAGTATCCATAATCGCTAGAATTTATAATTTAATTCTATTAATATTTGATGGATACAGTCTTAGAGTATAAATAAGCAAGATATATAAATATTAAATACTCTACGGATACAATATTCTTGAATAAAAAAACAGAATAATTTTATTTTACAAAACAATTTTCTTTTTGTGTTATATGTTTTTGTTTTGCGCACGGAGTTAATGACGAGCAGAGCAGTGTGACCATATTTAAAATAGAGATCATGCCTTACTTTGGTTAAAAACCTGCCAAATCCTGCCAGTCTGTAGTGAAAAATGCCTAAATACTGCCAACTTTATTTACCATTGTATTAAATGAGAATAAACTTTCCAACATGGACCATCGATTTATTTTTGTAGATAGTACTCACTAAAAGAAAGCGTTTTGCAAAGTTTCAATATGCAGAAACGCATACCTTTTGAGAAAAAAATTATTGAAAATCAATTAGTTTTGCAATTTATGTCAATTCCCACCATAGATATCATTGAGCTATACAAGACTAGAGGAGCAAACCACATTACCGCGCGTCGAAAAAAGTGAAGCCACTATCTAACTGTGAGGACGTAGCTTAGTAACCACTAAACCTTTTTAAGTAAACATATATCTGTCTCACTTACACAAGTCGCGAAAACAATACTGTCGCTAAGATTAGATAAAGATAGACACACTAACATGCAGTGACGGGTTGGTATTGTCTACTATATGAAATTTTACCCAAAAATAAGCAATAAAAAGGAGTTTTTTTTAAGCTGCAGTTATTTCTTTTAAATATTTTAAATATGTCTCTTTGCTTATCCGATTAATAGAAGTATAACTAATGAAATGAAAAATATTTTTTCGAAGTATTTTTATTGTACTGATAAATCAAACAAAAAATAAATAAAGTAAAAAAATCAATTTTGGGTTTCTTAACCAAGAAGATCTGAGTTTGAAATATGCATCAAATGTGAAAGCATCGGCAAGTCTTTGTCTCCTAAAAACTGGTTATTAATAAAATTTTAAGATAATAATAAATTGTGTTAATCTGTCGTTCTAATCCACTTAAATAAACACGGTCGCCATCGCTTTTTTGTCCTAGTTTGTCTTGATCCCGGAAGTGCTTAGAACTAATGAGAGTAGATTTCGAAGGCACCCAGTGAGGCTCCTTTTTCAGCAATCGTATTATTTCCACCCACTTCTTACGGTGTGCTGCATCTTTAGGTACCCTGCAAAATTATTAATATAAAATATAATTAATAGATCTATAGATCTCTAGAATATTCGAAAATAAGAATAATTAATTCCTTTGTATAAAGGTTAAAACATAGTTTTTATTACAATTTCCAAAATATTTAAAATCAGGGCTAACAAGTTAACTTATTCCATAAATTATATAGTCGTAGTAGTGTAATGTGGGAAAATTGCAAAGGCAGAGAAGTGGCAACATTGAACCTAAATTGCAATATTCGGTATTTTATTTCATTTTTTTGTGTTTTTACCGTTAATATGAAAACATAAACTAAAACTTACGTGTGGAAAGTGATTCCACTTGATTAATTATGTTTTGTGACCTTAAATCGCATTCTTTCACTACGTATTTACCCATTTTTTTGTCGTGAATCGTTCGGCTCAACTCGGTCGGCGTCGCATTGAACACTGAACTGAGTTCGTGCAACGAGCTAACATTTTTTCGTAACGACGGCAAGCTGCACATAAGCACTCCATCCGTGCGTCCCTGGGTCGACGCATGCATTTTTTTCTCCTCTACAGAGATTAAAGAAACCGCCACTATAGGCAATGTATTAGGCTTCGTATGATTTTTTTGTCCAGCCCATACTGTCCCACTACTAGGCAGAAGTCTCCTCTAAGTTTTTCTCAGTGGTTTTGTCCTGCACCACATCGAACCAGCCCTAACGGTATGCGTCCAGGTTGCGTGAATTATATCATATATATAGACTTTATAGCGGCTGGGAAGTTAGTTGCGAGCGCAAGTCCTGTACCTTCACGCTTCGCTTTACGTACTGTGATCTGAGACACCATCAAGTTTTCTTTCAACTATATCTGCACGGATTAGCGCTCGCTCTTAACATCCAAGCCGCCATAAAGATTCGACAACACCTTTCTTTCGTGGTAATGGTCGGTTACCAGTTCAAGTCACCATGAACGTGCAGTAGACTGACCTTTATCTTGATTTATTTAAATTTTGTGGAGCATGTGTGCTTTCATACATAGTTACTAGCCGTCATCTCTCTTTTTTTTGATAATAAAGATTATTTATTTATTTATCTCAGTAATCTAATCGAGTTGAGCAGCCCATTTCTAACCATACCACCGTTCACACAATCCATTAATCATTTAACCATCCTAACGTAATCCTCAATCTTCAGCATCCCATGTTCATACCATATGACAACCAACTTCCATGCAACATTTCGATCAATAGGGGTGGCTGCTCCACTTCAGATTTCCACTTCCATACTCATTTCTCATTATATCCCATTTGTGTAACACCACAAAATATCAATTTTATAGTGTTTACAACCTGCAAGTTGTAATGACTTCCACCAGTAGCGTAATTAGTGGTGGATACTGGAGGTAAACGAGATAGTAAGGATTAAAATTAAATAAAATAACAATAATGTATACTGATTAAAATCATTTATTCGTGACGAAATAATATTATTTAGTCAGAAAATTTATTTTAGACACATGAACCAAATCACCCTTAAGCCGAACTACATCCAGCGTTCTATTTATACATTCTTTTTCAAAATGCAAGGAGCATATTCTTCTTACTACTGCAGGTTTTATGTTTTCCTGACCTATATTATCAATCCACAATTTTGAAGGCCTTCTTTTTTTGGCAACCTAAAATAAATATTATGCATCCTTAAGTACCAATCAAAAATAATCTTAACATCATCAAATCTTTTGATGAAAAAAACTATTATAGAAAATTTACGATTTACACTATTTTCAAGTTCTTTTCTTAAATAAAAGGCTCTCAATCGATCGTTTGATTAAATATACAGTTTACGTATCTAAAACGATATTTGATCATAGGACTACATTAATATTATTGTTAAAAATAATATCGATAATTTCAAAACATGACAGCACGTAAGGGCAACACTATGTAAAAATGTAAGCAATCAAAATGTTTACTTGTTTAAATTTATATGATAATAGTCATTGGAAATTCTAGATAATAGTGGGAAACACGATTTAGAACCCATAACATGAACACGAAACGCAATTCACACGAAAAAATATACAATTATGGAAAAAAATTACAACTAACCTGAAAAATGACAATCCTTCTTCATTTTAACGAGAATTTGAATTACATCCATTGATGCAACACTTTGTCATGTTGTTTTTGCTCAATTACCCTTTACTAATGAACAAAAAAGCTCCAAAATAGTCAGAATTCACTGTAACACTGCAAAATAACTCCGAACAATGCTTAAGGTGGGTATCCATTACGTTCGCGAACCTCTTGCGCTCCGCGCTCCCGTAACCGCTCTGATGGAGACGGGTACACGTATCTCCATAGGAACATGCATGCTCCACAGTCCTCTTGTGAACACTGAGCGAACATGTCGTCATCATTAGTGGCTAGCGCAGCATATATTTTATTTCATTATCTACTCGAAGACTATAGAAGCCCTCCTCGCTTTTGGGAATCTGACATTTTCAAGAAAAGACGTCCGAATTCATTGGTGTTGGAAATCAAATCTCAAGAATTAAGTGGCCATTATAAAAACTTCATGCGAATGTCTTCATCTAATTTTGAATATTTGTATAATTTGGTTGTACCGGCTGTACAAAAAAAAAGACACAAAATTTCGAAAAGCTATATCGGCTCAAGACAAATTAGCATTAACGCTACGATTTTTAGCTACGAGTGATAGTTTCACAAGCCTGCAATACTTATTTAAAATCTCAAGACAGGCAATCAGCAAATTTATCCCAGAAGTCTGTCAAGCTATTATCAATGGACTGAAAGACAATGTGAAGGTAAGAAATGTTTTATTAATAATAGGTTCCATACCAATTAAAAAATAATATAAGAAGTATAATTAAACGAAATCATCGACATCAAAAGAATCCGCGCTGTATTGCGATCCGCGTGGACTGCTTTGACTAATACCAGCTTCAGAGGTACTACCTGTTGGCCGGGAGTGTGCTGCTAAATAAATCATATCCAGTGTAGCTGTTTCTGGCCGTATTGTATAATAATTTTGGGACTGACTTGTGTAGTAACCATATTGTTAATTGTTACTAAAATATTCTGCGTCAGCCTTAAATACGATACTCGTATCACATAAACGCTTTTGTACTAAATTCTTCGTGCGATGATCATAACTTCTCAATTTATTCTCTAAAAATTTACAAAACGTGCCAATCTCGTCGTCTTGATTTAACTTGGTCGATGCTGATTTTAAAATACCAAATGCATCCTTTAATATGGCAAGTTTTGGACCGTATTTGCGTTTTTTTGGAGGCGTCGGGGACGCATTTGTCGGAGATGGAGGCCCATCTGTAGTTTGTTCAGTAGACGGTTGGTCGAGAATGGCATCATTATTATTTTCCTAAAAACAAAACAAAACAGGCTAAAATGTATGTAAACACTTTATTGTATAGTCAGCGACATATTAAGCTTTACATATTTGTTTTTTTAGTTGCCTAATAACCCTCAAGAGTGTTTAATGATGTCTGATGCATTCGACGAGTTATGGAATTTTCCTCAATGTATCGGCGCAGTGGGTGGAAAACATGTAGTTTTACAGGCGCCTGTTAACAGTGGTACCGAATTTTACAACTATAAGGGTCATTTCAGTATTGTGTTATTTATTTTGGCCGATGCTAATTAATTAGGTTTGTCGATGTCGTTTGTCAGGGCCGAATATCGGATGGTGGAGTATACAAGAATACTAAACTATACTCTTTGATAGTAAAAGGTGAATTGAATTTGCCCACTCCAACACCTTTGGAAGGACGTAATAAAGTT